GCAATATATACCACGAAAGTATAATTTTAGGAGATATAAGTAAAAATCCAAAAATTCCTAATTGTTTAAACATTAGAATTGTTAACTAAGTTTTTTAAAAATCGGCTCCCACAGATCTCTTGGAAATTTTATACAGATTATTTAAAAAAAAAAGATTGAAATCGGTCAAAAATTGAAGGCTGTAGGGGGTTTTGAGACAGCTCATGTTGTTTGAGACCAGTGTGGGGCGCCCTGGATGAACTGTGGGCGGGGGCCCCCCTTTTCGGAAAATCGGCAGGATGCGCGAGAAAGCGACGCGGGATTAGAAGGACCGACTTGCAGAGCAGAGAAGGTTCACTGTTCGGTGTGCCGTGAAAAAGTGAGGACGAGCTCCAAGACGCTTCCGACGACGCCGAAGACGCCGACTTGGTGTAAGCCGCCTCTCGAGTAGCCGTAGAGTTCCGTCCGGTTATGGCTGGTAGCGTGAGTCTAAAACTCTGAATTTAGTGTCTCTTACACGACTAACCGCAATTTTGTTACCGTGAGCGCGTTTTTGGCGCGCTCAGTTACCACATATCCAGCCGGCTCCGGATATCGCGTTAAAGTCTCTTCATCTTGCGAATCAAGCACCGACAGTCTCTCTTTCTCGTTACCGTTTCAATTACCGTTCCATTTCGTTACCGTGTTGCTGTGCCGCCTTTCTGTTACCGTTTCTTTTTTGGGATATCGTCTGTTTGCTACCGTTTTCTAATGATACCGTCTTTGTTACCGTTTTCCGCATTACGTTAATATCGAAAACTATCGCGATTCGATGTCTACGGGTGGATTTTGCGCGTAAACGTTCTCCGCGAGACGGCTGTTATTGCCACTTTAGCGTCTCGGCGAAAAACGAGAAAAAACCCGCGAAAATAGCCGCTCCGCGACATATCCTTTCTGGCCGTTAGGCTACCGTCGTTCGAATTATATTTATTTGGCTTTCACCGGTCGCGTCGTGTTATCGTGATACAGGCCATCTGTTTCACTGACAAGGGAACGTTCACAAGTCGTCCCCCCCCCCCCGATTTGATTCTCCTTGAAATATGTTGTAAAACATACAATTTGAGGAGACACGTATTTTTTTATAGCGGCCCTATCTCAAATTTAAGGGGTGAAACACCCCTTTGAAAAAAAACGGTTTTTTTCTTTGTGTGTAACTATCGCCAAAACCGTAGGAGATATAAAAAAATGTTTCAAATAGAAGTTGTAGGGCTTGTAATGGGCTATATAACTGTGTAGTTGGATTTTCAAAAAATGTTATTTTTTTTAATTAACCCCCACCCCTTGTTATTATTTTTTCAAATTTCAAAATTTTTGTAATGACAAAAGTTGTAGCATTTTTTACGCTGAATTCAACCATATATGATTTTATTATGTTCCGAAATCGCATCTTTTAAAAATGAGTCATCAAGTATCACATTATATGTGTCGCGCTGCATGACGCATCGTTTATACCGCACTTGTGTTGTGCAATAGTCGCAAAATAAATATAAAAATGACATACAATATGTTATCACATATTTGAGGAAGAAAAGTTTACTAAAATTGTTGCTAAAACATCCCTTCCACATTACATACTTATAGATAATCACTGCATTTCGTGCGCAGCGCGTTGTTATATGCAAGTTAGCTATACATGTGTATATAAAATGT